CCTCTGACCACCATCAGTAGACAATGCAGGTGAAGTGTCTTGCCCAAGGACACAACGACAATGAAAGTCAGAGTCGGGGCTTGAACCGTCAACCCTTCGATTTCAGGGCAAACTCCTACATCCAACGCCACGCCAACGCCAAGAAACAAAAATAAATAATGGAGTCGTGTTTTGTCTTCTAGTACCAATAGTGGAGCAACAGGTTAGTTAAAAATAGTGTGATGCACAGATTACAAAAAACTGGTTTGATCTTTAAAATCTTGACTCTGCATCTTGGGTGTGCAAATGCTAAGAATAGCACAGGGTGATCTGCAGTCACCTGCTGCAAAAACTTGGTAGTTAAACTGCTTACGACAATGAATTTATTTCAAAACAAATTTGCTTTAAAAAACATTTTCAGGAAAATGGTATTTCCTCACAATTTTCCTGTGTAACGTCATGCTCAGGCTTGAAGTGTTTATATAAAGCATATGAAATGCCTGCAGGAGGACCTTTTATCCTGTTATGAGTCAGTCATTCTGGCTCTCACATGACAGCCATTCACCTTTAGTTTAGAATTTCCATGTCAGAACACTTTGCTCCTATTCAAAGGCCTTGCTGTGCTGCTAGATGTTCAGCAGAGGGCAGAGTGAGACAGAATTTGAATGTTAACGCAACAACGTGCAGTATCAACCAAATAACTTAAAAAATGGCTCCTGCAGCCATCTAAAAGAGTCAAATGCATTATCTGTCTGAAACACCCCAGATTGGTGTTTCAGCAAGATCACTCCACTGTCACTTTTTTAAGGTTTGTGGTGAAGTCATAATGCCATGGTAACTTAGGTTACACTGAAAGTGAAAGGTTCAATCAGGTTGTCAGATTTTAAGACCAGAAGGTGTTTCATCCCAAAGAATACAGTAGTTGCAAATAGTTCCTTCAATGCTCACCAATATAAGAACAATAAAGTATGGTGATATTGTAAATATGTTGCCAACAGCTTAAACAGACCAAAGAAAATTAGTAAAAAGATAATGTTAGTAAAGAAATGGTAACTGACAATGGTTTTCTAGTTCTCATCATTTATAAAAAAACAAACAGATAAGAATGATGATTATTTATGAAAGGTTATAGGCTTTTACAGACAAAAAAAAAACAGTAATACTGACCATAATAAGGGGTAAAAAAAAAAACAATATTTTATCTCCAGTTAAAGTTTCACAATCAGTCTATGCATGTTTACATTTTCAAAGTGCAATGTTATGTCTTCATTAAACCTGCTGTGTTTGTTTTGCCTGTAATGATTCATTTATGCTTTAAATTACCAAAACACTGACATTTTTTTTCCAAGTTTGAAGACATTTCGGTTCCCATTCAGGAAGCTTTTTAAATTTAAAATGTCAGAAAAAATGTTGAGTTCAAAGCTTTGTAGAAACTCAAACTTTATAGAGGAACTCAACGCTTATTCTGACATTTTGAATTTAAAAAGTTTTCTAGATGGGAAGCGAAATGTCTTCAAACCTGGAAAAGTTTGAAGACAGTCATGTCCAGTGGATTGTTTTTTTTTATTTTTTTGGTATGACTATGACCTGGATGACTGAGAATCTTGATAAGCATATGTATTAGATTCACCATCGAAATGAAATTAGTTTCTCTAATATTATGCGTGGGATAAAATCTGATGCTTGCAAAAGTAGTCATATCCCCATAAAACCTTTCTGCAAACCATCTGCAAGGTTACAAGGATTTAGATAAAGTACTGCATAATTCAGAATAAGCAGTTCACCTTTAACTGATTTTCTTTTTTTCTTTTTACAAAAACTTCTATGCAACTCTATTGTCATTAGT